ATGTTGAAAGAGGGCCAAGAGCATTCATTATGTTAGGTACATGTCTGTCCGGAGCACATACAAGGACTTCAGTCTTTTCTTCATTAAGTTGGAGGAAGTTGTCAGCCATCCAACCTTTGATGGTTTAAAAGAAATATATAGCTGAATGTCATCCGTGTAGCAGTGATAGCAAATGTCCTCAAAGGGGCTCAAAATATGCTGGAGAGGAAGTAGATATATCAAAAACAATAAGGGTCCTAGCACAGAACCTTGTGGCACACCATAGGACAGGGATGTGGAAGATGACCTGTACTTAGAGACCGCCACAGAAAAGTATCGTTCATAGAGATACGAGGAGAACCACTCTAAGGCAGACCCAGATACACCAAACCAGTATTTCAGCCTTTCAAGCAAAATGTAATGGTCAACGGTGTCAAACGCTGACGTGAGGTCCAACATTAGGAGTACAGAACATTTCCCTGCATTGTTTTGCATCAGAATGTCACTGGAAACTCTAAGAAGGGCTGTTTCAGTAGAATGTGCTCTACGAAAGCCAGACTGAAATTTGTCGAAGATATTATTTATGTCTAAAACTGCTGTAAGCTGCTTAGCCACAACCTTCTCTAATATCATAGCAATTAACGGTATTATTGAGATGGGTCTGTAATTGCTAGTGAGAGATGGGTCCAGCGTGGGTTTTTTTTTTAACAGGGGGTGTATAGCAGCAGTTTTAAAATAAGCAGGGACTTAACACCTCACTGGGGTCTGGTAAACTATGGTGAGCACACAGGGACCAATAGAATGGAAGACATTTTTGAATAACGATGCGGGTAAAATGTCAAGTGAACAGGAGGATGCTTTCGTTCCATTAACTATTTTTACCAGCTCTGGTAATGAGACGAGTAAAAAGCATTCTAAAATGACAGGCCGAGTTGGCGTAGGAACTGACAGTGCAGATGCTGATGGGGACAATTTTTTCCTTACATTACAAAATTTTTCTAGAAAGAAAGAAAAAAATTTCACAGTCTTCATTACAAGAAATAATGGCAGCAGGTGGAGGAGGAGTAAATATATCAGTAATAGTGTCATATAACAACTTAGCACTAGAATTACTAAGCCTGCGCAAATTTGAGTAAATTCCCTGAACCTAAGACCTACTAGAATTACTGACTTTTTTATTTTCTGGTGCACGTCCCGAGGTGTTAATCACCACTGCTGGGATTTTCACAGGTCGTCAGCTCTATTCTTCTCCTGCTTTTGTTTCTCAGCACAGATCTTCCATTGTTCCATTGTAACTGTGTATGTGAGGAAGTGGCATTGCATGACTACAGCACAGTGCTGTGCATAAAAGCAGACCAAGCCAGGCGGGAGATACATTTCTTGTTTGCATTTCTGAGAACGCACATCAGGATGGCCTCTGTATCACTGCAACACAGGAAGAACCTCTCTGCGCAACAGGCTTTGGCCTTGCTTTAGGAAATGGATGAAGCAGATTCTGATGGAGGAGAGGTTTCATTTGTCCAGTTGTTCATTTGGCCACTGATACCTCCTCAGAAGAATCTGAAAAGGAGACGGAAGAACAACCCAACATCCCTCCACGGAAGAGGCACCGTGGTACTGGAAAGCCCTGTCTGAGCCACACGGCAAAAGATGGCACTGTGTGGGTAGAGGAAGACATTGGAATGCCCAGTGCAGTAGCAAATCGCTCGTGCTTCACCGTGCAAGCTGGACCCACAGAGTCTGCTAAGGTTTGTCACTGCCATAGTAGATATGATATTTATATAAACCCATTTAGAGTGAGGTTCAAATTTACCATTCTCTATTTGTTTATCTTCCGACAGCGTAAAATTACAAGTGTGCTCCAAAGCTTCCTTTGCCTGTTAGACCTGGGAATGCTGTAGACCATCAGGGAGTGTACGGTCCATCAAGCCCACAGAACAGAGTGGGACTGGAATTTGTCAATTGCTGGACAGGCAAAAGAAGATAGTTTCTGAGTCTTCTAGCTAAGGAACTTCATTGCCGATTCATGCAGCATAAGGAAATATTAGCACAGAGGCAGGCTGCTGA